GGAGGGGACACATTCCTGCTGTGGTAGCCCCCAGTCTGTGATACTTTTGTCACGGTGGCCCCCAGGACACACCTAGCAATTCATGTCCATTGCAGAAAAATGAGAACACAGAGATAAGGAAAAGATTAAAATCCCGTATTGACATTGCAACACACGCATCTATGTATATCTGTTCTACATGTATCACACGTGGGCCCACACGTACGGGGAGAATGTGTTTATAGTCACGTGTTCCCTAATGATGGGGCTGTGTCCTGAGAAACACATCATTGGGCGACTTTGTCACCATGTGAGGTCCTGCAGTGCCCTGTCTCACACAGACCCAGACGGCACGGCCGGCTACGCCCCGGGCTATGCGGTATGACCCGTGGCTCCCGGGCCGCACAGCTGCGGAGTCTCTTATTGGGCTGATCACTGCAGGTGATTGCAACATAGTGGGGCCTATTTGTGTATCTAAACTCAGAAAAACTACAATGAAAACACGATATTACAATCTTACGGTACCACTGTTGCATGGGCAGGCTGTTGTTGGCACAAACATTGTTATTTGGTGCATGACTGTGTATATATTTACATATACATAAAATCTGTAGATATATATGAACAACAGGATTGAACTATGCCAATGTTTATTTGCTTTTCACTTAGTATCAGCAGCGTTTTCCAAATCGGAGAACATGGGGCCACAGTGCGTTGTGATGTCTCTGTCTGCTCCCTCGATGTGTCTAGAAGCACATGTGGCTGACAGCTGTCACGGACCTGCGGTCTTTAAATTCCCGTCGTAGACGCCTCCTGCCCATCGCGGCTTTTGAACTAAACCCAGGGGCTGGAATCTCTGAGCCGCGGCAGGGAGAGCATGCCGCAGCCCACACCCTGGGCGAGGTCCCCACGGGTCTCTCTGCCACCAGCTGGGACTGGGCCCGTCCCCTCCATAAATCCACCCTTAGTTTCAAAAACCACATTGATTTTCCAATGTGCTCTGTGGAAAACGAACACCGTCGCATGTCTCTCTGAATTCTCTCTCGCTCGTGGCGTTGGACGTTTTTTCACACACTTATGAGTCATTCGTGTTTCCTCCTTTGGGAACCTCCTGTCTTGCCGGAGCCAGTTCCTACTGGAGTCCACGTTCGTGCTGTGGATTCATGAGAACGTGTCCTGTGCCACGAGACAGGGCCCTTGTGTGTCACTCACGTGGCGACGTGTTTCCTCGGGTTCGCGTGAGCGGGTTTCGGGGCAGGTGGAGGCGGTAGGAACGGCCCGGGAGGCTGGGCAGGGCCACGTGGGCTGGTGACACGGTATGTTTAAGACGTTACTCAGCCCGCCACGGGACGGTCCACGGCTTCTGCTTCAGAGCAATTTGTCTTTAACTTCTGTTCACACAATTTCTCAATGACAGAAGATTTACATTTTTATTTCTTAAGTCAAATCCGTCAGTCTTTTCCGTGGCTTTTGTACGTGGCATTATGCTCAGGACCCCAGATTTACCTACATATTCTTACTGCACAATCTGGCTTTCTTTTTTCACTTAAATCTTTAAAAGTCTGCAATATATTTTGATGTAAAATACGAGGCGAGCTCCTCACTTGATTTTTCCCCAAATTGTTAGCCGACTCATTTCTGGGCACTTCTTGTAAATGAAGGTTTTCTCCTTTTATGTTCTAACCAGTAAATATTGTTATAAATCATATATTTAAAATTATTACATACCCTACATGGCACCTTAGGAATTTGTAAACAGAGCCGTCGAGCCGGCCAGCCCTGAGCCTCTCCGGCTGCCCAGGGACTTGTTCACGGACCCCACAAGCCTGTACACGCTGGGGCCTGTGCCCCCAACGACACACACACACACCTGGGGGCAGGTGACCTGACAGAAAAGGATGACCCCCCCCACACACACCGTCTCCTGCAGGAGGAAATGTCCCCACCTTAGAGGGGGATGTGAGGGAGGAAGCTGGGAGCCTCTTCGAGACAGTTACAGCTCCAGGGTGTTGTCTAAAATTAACTCTTACCACTGCAAACACCTTTGCATAGCTGGGGTTTCTGCAGGGCAGAGTCGTTAAAGAGATAAATGGTGCATGTGTGTGGCGGTCTCAGAGCAGGTGATTCCCCACACACAGGGACTCGGCCTTCCATGTTAGGGAGGACCACAGCCTGGGGGCTTAACCTGAAGAAATGCATCCTCCCCCAGTCCTGGAGCCCAGGAGTCTGAGACGCGGGTGTCTCGGGGCCGCACTCCCTCCGCAGGCTCCGGGGGAGGCTCCTTCCTGCCTCTTCCAGCTCCTGGGGGCTCCAGGCGTCCCTGGGCTTGTGGCCGCGTCACTCCAGTCTCTGCCTCCGTCTCCACGTGGCTTCTCCTCTGCGTCTGTGTCTCCTCTGCTGTCTCTTAGGAGGACACCTGTCACTGGGTTTAGGGACCTCCCTAATCCAAGATGATCTCATTTTAGGGAATAACATCTGCAAAGACCCTCTTTCCAAATAAGGTCCCATTCCCAGGGGCTGTTTCTTCTCTGAGGTCCAAACAGCACCAAGGACCACGTCACTGCAGTGGCTGGGCTCGTGTCCCTGGTGGGAGTCCAGCTGCCGGAGCAAGTGGGCAGCCCCGGAAAACTGCAGAGTGAGTCCTGCCCCTCCGATTCAAATGCATGTGAACCGAAGATTCTAATCTCTTTTAACAAGCTGCAAAATTCTACAAGAGAACCACTGGTCCACGTGACAACACGGTGGATCTCCACAGCACCGCTGAAAGCAGCCAGTACGCACTGTCGGATTCCATTTGTAGAAAGTTCCAGAAAAGACAAAACTGCCCGCTGTGCAAAAGGCCAGGACAGGGCTGCTTTGCTGGGAGCACCGGGCAATGTTCTGGGGGAGGAATTCCCCGTGTCTCGCCCGTGGGGTGGTCTTGCCCGACACGGCTCCACACGAATGAACCATGCACCAGAAGTCAGCATCCTGCTGCTTTCAAATGATTTGGCAGAAAAACCCGGGACAGAAAAAGTGAAAGCCGGAGCACGAACTCACATGGCAACGCGGCCCCAGTGCATGCAGGGAGATCCGCGGTGGCCAGTGGACAAGAGCCGTTCCGTGTCCCGGGCACAGCCAGGACACCACAGCACGTCACCTGGGACCTGCCCGAGCTGTGGCCGTCACCGCGTGTCCCACCCGAGCCCAGGCGTCAGTGCAGAGCTGTTCTCCGCGGCACGGTCGCAATCGCGTGGGCTCGAGCGTGTTCAGTTTGGCCGCGAAGTCCCTGGGGCGTCTCGCTTCTCCCAGCACCGGAGCGCTGAGCCCAGGGGACTGTCGGCACAGCTGGGGCGCAGAACGACGCAGGGGACAGCGGGGCTGAAGTCCTCCACCCCGCCCTAGAAATAACCACAGACCGCGGGCAGAGAGGAGCACAGCCCCGAATTCCTCAGCGGACGAGGCAGCCCCGAGCGGCACCTGCCGGGGTGCAGTGTGTGCCTTCTGCGGTGGTAGCAGGACGAGGGAGACCGGGGGGACAGGCGTGTGTGCACGTGTGTGCATGCATGTACATCTGTGTGCATGTGTACGTCTGTGTGCATGCATGTGTGTCCACCTGTGTGCCCGTGGCTTTCCCCACACCCACGACCGCACCCCCTGGGAACGCGCAGCTGACATCCCAACCCCGCCCGCCGGCCCTCACCGGGGATGCACAGGTGGTGCAGCGGCACGTCCCAGAGGCGGGGGCACAGCGCCGACATCCAGTCCGCGTTTTCGCTCGCGCAGCGCCGGCTCGGGACGCTGCTGCCCGTGCTCACCTGCCCGCCCATCGCAGGCGGCTCCTGCAACCTGAGGAAGGAAAGGACGTCTTCTGGTTACTTGTGCTGGTTACACAGGGGCTGTGCCTGGTGCTGTCTGTGGTGTAGACGCTCTCTGTGCACACGGTCAGCCCTGGTTCCTGGTCTGGGCTGTGCCTGGTGCTGTCTGTGGTGTAGACGCTCTCTGTGCACACGGTCAGCCCTGGTTCCTGGTCTGCCTCAGGTACTATCTGTGGTGTAGATGCTCTATGGTGTAGA